AAAAGCAAATACACGGACAAGCTCATTTGTTGATGACTGAATTAGGTGGGCCGTTTTGGAGCAAGCTATGCCAACATTTTCAACATGGTTTTTTTATATCTCTAGAACTATTTCACATTTCCATATATATATATATATATTATTATTATTATTATTATTTTTCTTTTTGGTATATGATATTTTTAATTGTTTAACTAAGCTCTAAGCCAAAACAATTCAAATCGGAAAACCGAATCAAAATCATCGATTTGGCTCCACTTGATCCCGCCGTGAAACATTTTTCAACTAAGCCAAATCGTTCTAAAATAGTTTGGTTTAGTTTTACAAATATTAACGAGGGTCTAAAAGCAAATTGGATCGCTTAAAATTTTTGAAAATAATAATAATAAAATGCCAGAAATTAGATTGATAAGTTACAATCTTCTCAAAAATAAAATGTAACTATTATAATTATAAAACAAAAATGAGTAATATGGTCAATTGTCCATTACCAAGTACCAATAATTATCCTAATTTCATAACACATTACGAGTTAATCCACGCAACATATACCAAAGTCAAAATCCTCTTCTTCTTCGGTCTTCATGCCGCAAACATTCAAAAATAGTTATAGAGATATTTGAAAGGGTCTTCATAGTTAGGTTTTATGTTTTAATTATTGTGATGAAGGAGTATTATTTAAGGTTTTTTAGATTCGGATTTTGCAGGTGACAGAGATAATAAGAAATCCACTATTGCTTATATGTTTACTTTGTGTAGAACTTGTGTTAATTGTAAATCTCAACTACAATCTATTGTAGCTTGTTGGGTTTTAAATGTAAAATAATATAAAAGTGAAATCAACACAAGTATTTAATGTCGATCGACGATTTGCCTATGTCCACAAGGAGTGAAGCGGAGATTTTTATTCATTATGAATAATAGGGTTACATTATCAGTATTTTTATTCCGTTCCGTTCGGTGCGCTCCGATTTCATATCGATCATTTTGATTCAATAAACTTGTATTCCACTCTATATGAACCACATATACAACATAGCTTTATCAACTACAGAAGCTAAAAACATTGCCACAGCTGAGGCTATAAAGAAAAGCTTTATGGTTAAAAGGTTGTTATCTAAAATTAATGAAGTATCTAGTCCTATTTTAGTTTACTCAAATAGTGAAAGTGTTATTTATTTAGGCCATGTTTGACCAACATTAAAGTGAGTTTTTTTTTTTGGAAAAATGAGTTTTGAAATAGCAATATTTTTTGAGAATTTGAGGTCAAAAAGTATGAATTTTTTTTAAGTTTTCGTGCAAATATTTTATTATGAAAATGATTGAAAATGAATTAGAGAAAAAAAATATTGTTTTAATGGCTGTCAAATAAGGTCTTATTTAAATATCCTATTTTTCAAGAAATAACTAAGTACATTGATGTGATATTGTATTTTGTTAGAAATATTATCGTAAAAGAATCTTTATCTCTTGAAAAAATAATCGCAACTCAATACAACTCATTTGATATGAGGACTAAAGTATTGCCTCTAAAGAAGTTTAAATCTTGTTTGAAAATATTGAACATTGATACTGTTTAATTTCATTTTGCAGGTACATAAGCTTTGATGCTAATTGGTGATATAAGTAGCTCATAATTGTTAGTCTAGAGTTATTTTTTTGTAATACCATTGATATAGAGGTAGAGACTGGGCTGTGATATCAAATTCAATCTAATTAAGCTTTGAAGAGAATGTTATTGGCCCAATTGCCAAACATATTGCTTGATAATTTCAATATTGTGAGGTCCAAAACCTGGATCTACTAAATGGACTGTCGTTTTTGAGAAGTGTGACTTTGGTATTAATTTATGAGGAAATTACACACAGCCCTACTTTTAAGTTACCATTTTCATAAATCCTACTTCAAGTTTCATATTGCAAAATTCAGGTTTTTATTGTTAATTTAAAAATATTATTTTATTTTTATATCTATTTACAATAAATTAATTTATATATACTCCCTTATCCTATCTACCCCCAACCAAACCCTAAATCAATTGAATCTCCTCCTCTCAAACCATCTCCTCCGCCTAAATCAATTGAATCTCTCGTCTCTGTAATCAACGCCAACGCCGCTGCCGTCGCTGCAGACTCTTCTTCCCTTCCTCTCCATCACCGGCCGACGCTACGAGTTTCTCAGGTGCCTCCATTCTCCTCCTCTCTTCCCCCTTTCTCCCTCCGGTCCATTCTCCGTCGCCTCCCCCCTTGATGGTTGTAGCAGTGTCGCGACACTCCGTTCACAGATGTGTGCGGATGCAGTCCGGTGGGTGTAATTGAGTGGGTGCGGCGACGGTGGAGATGGAGGTGCAGTGGAATGGTCGTGATTGGTCTGATTTTTGCAGATCTGTGGCGGTGGATCGGGGTATTACA